ACATCATCAGTAGTACATCGGGGATTAATATATTACCAATCCACCACGCCGACCTTCCCGATTACAACAACAACGGATAGGGGGTTAACCTAGCTCCTTTATCTACGAGGACAACCTCAACAGGTATTTCCCCCTTGACATAACCATATCACAAGGAACGCAACGCGTACTCATATCTGAGCACCTGAAAAGATGGTTAACAACAACGAATGAGATAAAATCTCAGTAAGTTAACGACCTAAGCCTTGACTAGGAGGTCAACTAATATCGGATGCACCTAAAACATGCAGCAATCTATCGATGACAGATCAATAGCAAAGCAACCCCTGCTTTGCCCTAACTATTCACACGAGCAGGCTACCCAGCCCAACATAAACATACGTGCCATTAAACAATTGCAGACATTCTTACCTTACCTTGGCACACACGCCCTGCACGTTATAAACCATCATATACAATCATAATGCAACAAGCATATAATGTAATCAGAATGCGCAACAACTTTCCCATGCACAATGTATCCACACGTGTCCCGATTACAAGGTGAAACCGCTTCGGCCCATCCCATACTGTGCCTAGCAATTTCATCTCATAATCAAGCGCAATGCCACCACAATCTTTCACGCGTATTCCAATTACTACAGCCACACCAGGGGCTACGGCACAACCCGCGATATTCGCCTCAGGTTGGCAGTCTTCCGATATATCTGGGCATCATTCCGCCCCATCGGTCACGGCATCGTCTCACCCGACCACAATGACGGCATATCCCATAAATGGGTTCATTCCGAATCCGATTCGCGAATGACTACGTCTCCCCTGCTACCAGCGACGGCTTCCAATTACCAAATTGGGGACACCCGTTAGGGCCACGGCCAAACCCTAGGTTGGCGGTCATCCGGTATACGGTTTTCCGATATAACCGGGCATGAAAGGAACCTTTAGGTGATCATGCACACATAGCAACACTCAGGTTCCATCATTATAATTTTCAATAGCCGATGCAAACATAATCCGTGCTAGTACGTTGAAATATCTAACTTTCACACATAAAAATATACTAAAATATTCACACGTGATTATGCACATATCAATAAATTCCCAAACTTGGCATGCTTCTATATTCAAGAATCCACAACATATTTCTCACATAAAACTTAACAAATAAACCCGACACCTCAGGGTTTATTAATTAAATACCCGTAATTTTATATTTCACCATAACCAAACAATTCAATTTGGCATACAAACCAATATATAAGGCAAATTCTAGCTTAGGCATCACAATTTAAGCCTAAAATAAACACAATTTAATTTCGGAATTTCCACAAAAATATTAATAAAATAATAATATTTTTAATTCCGAAAATTAATATAATATTCTAATAGCTTAACAACTGATTCCTAATTAATTAACACTAAACATAATTGACTTAAACTAATCCGCTCTAATCAAGTTTAACATACTAAGCAAGGGATTAGGGCGATAACTCACCCGTTTAAAATTCCGGAGACACCGGTGCGTCGGCGGCGGCGAGGGCTACGCTTTGTACGGTCCGGAATCGACACGGAAAGATGACGACGACTGGGTCTCGGCTGGACAGCAGCTTTGGGGCGGCTGTTTTGCCTCGGCGAGGCTCGGTTGAACGGCGAAAATGGCTTGGACGGGTGGTTCATGGTGGCGGGCAGCCACGGCGTGGCTCTTGGTTGCTCCACGGCAGCAACACAGCAGCAACACAACAGCAATGGGGCTGTTCTGTTTGCTCAGCCGAAGGAACAACAAAAAAAAAGAGAAAAGGGGAAGTTGCCGTGGAAGAGGAAAAAGGAGAGAGGGATAGAGGTGGCCACGGGCCGGTTTTGGCCCGGAACCGGACCGGTCAAACCCGGGCCCGGCCAGTTGAACGGGCCCGCGGTTCGGAACCGGAACCGGCCCGTGGCATACGGGCCCGGTTCCGGTTCAGGGAAAAATTGAACCGGCCCGGAACCGCGGTTCGGGCCTAGTTCGCGAAAAAAAAAAAAAAAAAAAAAAAAGGCTGCGGGCGGGCTTCAAGCCTGACCGCATTGCGGAGCCATCTTTGCCGCGGCGCAGCATGATGGCCTATGCGGCCGAAACCATGGCGGGGCCCGGCGCGGAGTCGCCGGCGTCGGGCGAGGGGCCCTCGTCGGCGTCGGACGAGGCGGCCCTCGCTGGGGCCGGCGAGCCGGCCTCGCCCGATGCCGGGCGAGGCTCGGCCTCGCCCGCGTCGGCGAGGCTCGGCCTCGCACGCAGTGGCGAGGCTCGACCTTGCCGGCGTCCGGGCGAGGCCGGCCCTCCACTGCAGGGCGAGGCCGGGCCTCGCCCGGCGCCGGCAAGGCTCGGCCTCGCCTGCAACCGGCGAGGCTCAACCTCGCCGGCGTCGGGCGAGGCCGGCCCTCGCCTGGGCTAGGCGAGGCTGTCCTCGCCCGGACGCCGGCGAGGGCCGCCTCGCCCGAGGCCGGCGACCTCCGCGCCGGCCCCGGCTATGGCCGGCCGCGGAGGAAGAAAAAAAAAAGAAAAGGAAAAGGAAAAGAAAAAAAACAGAAAAAAAAAAATCGGAACCGGCCGGGAACCGGTTCACACTTGGCCACGAACCGGAACCGCCGGTTCCGAACCGTGGCCACCTCTAGAGAGGGAGGTCCAACGTGAGAAGAGAGAGAGAATGAGAGTTATTGGGAGATTTTATCCACTCCCAAAGTCTTCATCATCATTTCCCCAACATAAATGCCAAACCCCCAAAGTCTTCTTCATCATTTTCTTTTGTTTCTTAGTTATAAATGCTAGAAGGGTAAAATGGTAAATTCACCATTGATACTATTCACGGTTACTATTCACGTGGGCTCGGGCCAGCAAACTTGGGCTCGGGCTTGAATGGGCCCAATTGGAAGAGGAATGGGCTTGAAAAGCTTAATGGGCTTTCCTTGGGCTTTGGTCTTGGGCGTGAGGCCCATTGGGCTTTTTTTTCTCGGCCCACTCCCTTGTGGGCTTCCATTCTCGACCCACTAGTTCCTTTGTCCAAAATTTCGGGGCCCAAAACTATTCCCGAGTTTTACCCCCACTAACTCGGACCATAAAGTCTCGGAACAATCCTTAATCGAAAACCTATAATCGGATCAAGGCTTGTGGCAAAACTTCAACGGGAAGTGTCTCTAATACGGCCTATTCGAGTTAGGTGGCCTCTTGGGGTGTCGCTAGCGTGACTTATGGTTGATTCGTCAATCAATCAATATTCGACTCTCGTTAATCCATGGATCATTCTCGGTTGTCATGTAATCGTGTGAAATTGACTTATTTACCCGGGGCACGTGATCTGGTAAAATTGACTTAAGATCGTTCGGGTTTAGTATAATGATCATGCGGAATCACCCGCAATATGACTATGTATACTTTCGCCGAATCGATTCCTAACCTTTCACTGCTTGACCCGTGACGTCATAATGTCATCCCGCATCGATCCTTATGGTCGAGCTATTTCCATGGTCGAGTACTCTAGTCGATTGCATTGTCCAACCCTCAATTGCCTTTCCTAATCGAATAGTTGACTCATGAACAATTCGTGAATCGACTCATGGTCTAATCCTGCTATTAGAGCATTGACAGTTTAAGCCACTTCACTTGCCGAATTAGGTTCCGAATCAAGGATGTCACAAAATACATCGAGACCTGTAATCTTGACTCTTCAGGCCTTCGATTTATCTTCCAAAATTCGTCCACCATCTTGGTCCAGAGGATACATAGGAAATCGCTTGGAATAACCTCCCATCGATATGTTGTTAATTAGCTTCGAAATCGGCAAGTATTCTGGTGTACCGATAACTTTAATCGGTAACTTGGTATACCGATAACTCTAATTGGTAACTCAATCGTTAATCTCTTTGTTGATCATCCACCGAAGCAAGTTATCTACCTTTACTTGAATGGACATCGACGATGCCAAATTTGTTGAAGGAGTTAAGTTGGATGCTCCCACATCAATGTAGGAGCTATTAAGCTATGAAATTAAGTGGAAATGATAGTTAAGAGTCTTGTGGACATGTGGATTTTACATAAATCGATTTTGAGATACGGTTTGGTCGGAATAAATGTTTAAAGTTTTGCGCATGTTGCTACCTAGTTCCGAATTTCTGTTTTTTGTGATGGTTTTCTCTTGTCTTCGACCGTCTTTTGAGTCAGTGACATTTAAGATTTTTCGTACTTCAAAAGTGATTTTTTTAAAAGTAAAACCACTTGAACAAATTACTGTTTATCACATAGTTACGTCATTTGAGGCTGCATTCTTACTGGAGGATGGCTGTGTCATTTCTCCTATGCTTGTAGGAGTTGGGGTGTGAGCTAGAAGAATAGTTTAAGCCTAGAAGAGTTGTGCAGGGAGTTTCCAAGGAAGATGAACTCATATCAAGTACTTTTGTCTCTTCCAATATTTAGTCTACACTAACTTCAGAAAGATCTAAAGAAAAAAAATATCCCAATTTTCATTTATTTGTTGTATAGATTGACTATAAGTTTTATGTCTTTACTAATTCATAGTAAAGATTTCTACTTATTGTTAATGTATTTGTTTCTTATTTCCAAGGATTATCTATTAAAAATGGAAAATAGATAAAAGAATAGCGATCTAAAATTTAGTACTAGTATTTCCACTAGTATGGAAAATTTTCCATTGGAATTGCAATATGATCAATTGACGTATAATGCACGTGTACCAAATACGAGTAATTAGAAGTATGATCTTCAAGGGTAGGCAAAAGTTAAGAGCTTTTCCATGTGATGTACAGCCCATATAGTAAAGAAAAAGGACTAGTGCTCTTCACATTTAAATTATGCAAAATTTGCTTATATGAGATGCACTTTTTGTCAAATTTGGCAGCTTCGAGGCAGTGAAACCTCTCTCTCCCGCTCTCTTTCCACGAAGCAGCTTCCAGGAAGGCTTTGGAGTGAGATGACTTTTCCTAACCATTTCATTCATCCACACCGACCAAAAGCAGCCGTGGGTGAGACGGGCACAACACAGTCCCAACTGGAGTTACAACAAAAACTGTGGATACAAGCAAGTCTCTTTGGAATTGCAGAAGGTATTCCCAAACCAATCACTACCAATCGAGAAAAACCATCAAGCTTATACGACCCATCTGTATTTGTGAAGGATCTATTTTTCTCCCGCTTAAAGATGGTGTTCAATCTCCGATCCTTCAGTTCCACCGAGTCCGTTGAAGGTGATCCAACACGTCCTAAAAGCTTCTCTCTAAAGGAGCTCCGAGTCGCTACAGACAACTTTAGCAGCAACAACTTCATAAGGTATGATTTATATGGCAAGGTTTACAGGGGGCGCTTGGCCAATGGTTCGCTAGTGGCAGTAAAGAGATCAAGCTTTGACAATCGGCAGAGCGAGCAGGATTTTGAAGCAGAAGTGCAAGTGGGAAGCACGGTTTCGACACACCCAAATGTGCTATGCCTGATGGGCTTTTGCAGGACCAAGAAAGAGCTCTTACTGGTCTATCCCTTCATGATCAACAAAACCCTATCTTACAATCTTAGAGAGAGACCGGATCGGTTTGCCAGACCACTCGATTGGACTACTCGCAAGCAAATAGCCTTGGGAGCAGCGAGGGGGCTTGCCCACCTTCACAATCAAGGTAACATCAAGATCATGCATCGCAACATCCGCGCGTCAAGTATACTGCTGAATGTGCATTTTGAGGCTGTGATAGGAGGATTTTCGCTTGCCTTTATCAAGCATGAGAAAAATGTAGAGGAAGATGTTTATATCCAGGGCACAACTGGGTTTACGGCCCCCGAGTACATCAACACAGGAAAGTGCACACCGAAGAATGATGTCTTTGCATACGGGAAAATGCTTCTCGAGCTCATCTCGGGACAGTTGATTTACCTTGACGATGGCAATGGCAATTTTTTCTGCTTGGAGAATTGGACTAGAAAACATATGAATGAAGACCAGTTGGGAAGGGTGATTGATCCCAATCTGCAGGGGAATTACGTGGAAGAAGAAGCAGAGCGATTAGTCCGATTGGCATTATTGTGCGCACAAAGGGATGCATCAGTTCGACCAGAGATGTCTGAAGTAGTTCGAATGCTCGAAACTCAGTTTCTTCAGCGGGACCCTAGTACAAGCAGTAGTTTGAGTCAAAGCGAGTGTGATTCGGCTCCGAACTACTCTTGCCCTCCTTCCCCTTCTCCTCTGGGGATTGCTCCATGATTGGCATGTCAATGCTACATCATCACCTTTCTTTTACCTTCAATAACAAGTTTAGCCTCTGTGTTTTTCTTCCTAAACTCTATATTTCACTTTCATCTGTATGATCTTCCTGTGATACTTTCCTCCGATTTTTTTTAAAGACATATAGCACCTCTTTCACGCAATAACTACTATCTTCTACATTTGTCATCGAAACTAGAAACTGAAATAAAAAGTGATAAGTGCATAAGAAGTCCTAAAATTTGTCATCAAAGTGCAATTGGCTTCTAAAGCTTTCAAAAAGTGCAATTAAGTCCTAAAACTTATCACGAAAGTGTAATTGAGTCCTAAAATTTTCAAAAAGTGCAATTAAGTTTTAAAACTTATCAAATTGGTGTAATTAAGTCCTTATGATTAACACCGTCAATTTATTTAACGGAAAATTCGGGCGTGGCATGTTTAAATTACTTTCTCCCTCCTACGTGGCATTTTTTATTTTTTTCTTCAAAGCTTATTTTAGTTAGATTAAACAATTAAAAAATCTAATATTTTATTTAAACAACTAAACTGAAAAAAAAAATGGCAGGGAAGGGCCTTGCTGGTGGGCGCTGTCGCCGCCGCCGCCCATCCTCGAAGGGGCCAATTGCAAGCCCTAGGCAACACTGGCCGGCCCTCGCCAACCACAAGCAAGGGCTCGTCAGCCCTAGGCTAGGGTCGGCGACCCTTGCTAGGCCCAGGCAAGCGCCGGCAACGCCCATAACTAGGCGCCTTCGCTCAGGCCTAGCAAGGATTGCCGACCCTCGCCTGGGGCTAGTGAGCCTCGCCAACCCCATACGAAGGTCGGTGTCGCCCAGATTTGGGTGCCCTCGACCCAGTTTTGGGCGAGCCTCGCCAGGCCTAAATGAGGGTCGGCGTGGCTTTGCTCAGGCCTAGTGAGGGTCGCTAGCCCTTGCTTGGGGCTGGCAAGGCCCAAGGGAGGGCCGACGTCGCCCCGATCTGGGTGCCCTCACCCTGGTTGAGTGAGGGTCGCCGGCCAACCTTGCTCGGGGCCGACAACCTTCGTCGGCCCCTCCGATGATGGACGGCGATGGTAGCAATGCCCACTGGCGAGGCGATGCCTTGCCATTTTTTTTTTCAGTTTTGTTTGTAAAATAAAATTTTACCTTTTTTAAATCTAATTATAATAATATTTGAAGAAAAAAATAATAATAAATTCCACGTAGGAGAGAGAAGGTAATTTAAAAATGTCACGTTAGCATTTTCTATTAAATAAATTGACGGTGTTAACGGTAAGACTTAAATACAGCAATTTAACAAGTTTTAGGACTTTTAGTACATTTAACCTAAATAAAAAATTAAAAGTGTCACCTTTTAATCTATTGAATTAATGATGAATGAATGTTTAAGTATATTAAGAAAGTTCTATTGTTCTCGAGAAAATTGAAGGCCACCATAAAAGTTGTCCATAGAAGACATTGATAAGATCAGTCGCACATGCATCTTCGTGCACATCAGTCCTTGTATATGCAAGAAAATCCAAGTTATTGGCACTGTGATAGGCTTGGATCTTTCATATTTGTCTCTCTGGTTTAAGAGAAGGATATGGTGGGACTAGTTGGCTTTTACTTTCTTCTCTGCGGGGTAAACTCATATGGAGCTTTCAAGAAGTTTCTCGGTGATGGGAGTCATCAATACGAAACAACATTGCACATCAACTTCTTGTAAACTCAGGTTGGGACTTGTAAAATCCGTGATGCACTTTCCGCAAGTCACACCTAGCTGGGCCATTTCAGCTACTTCTAGGCAATGTTTCAACCCGAGGAATCTCCTTTTCATCTTAATTTACTTAATTATCTCCGATCTGCGGGCAGGCAATGACAAGGGCAATGACATTATTAGCCTTAACCTCATTCAAACAATCGAGGTGCATAATTCGATTCCTCGTATCTACATCTCTCTCAAGCGCTCTCTCTCTCTCTCTCTCTCTAAATGTCAGCGAGTTGGGGAATGAGGAGACTCGCAATAAATGTTGTGTTGTGCAAACGGATCGTGCACTCGTGGGAGGTTTTAATGACCCGCTCAATTGTGCCGTTGCACATTTTTTTTGTCTTAAAAAAAAAAAAATCCATCCAGACAAAGTATTGAGCTTCCTATTGATTTTTTTCAATGAATTTAACGATTAACCGATCTCAAATTTGTTTCAACTTGATTGATGTTCTAGCAATATTTTGGAGGAAATCATCCCTTTGGCTCATTGCAACCAGTTTTAAAGGATCATGGACATTATCAGTTTGAGATTTTTGTGAGATGGTAATTAGTTTGTAGTATATGTATCATGGATACCAATTTAGAATTTTTAATAGTATTAATACCTAAAATTAATCAATTCAATACTCTTTTCATGCGGGATCCATCTGACTATAGGCTGGGGTGCACTAATGCACATGCACCCAATAAAGCCCCATGATGATTCACCTGGATCATGGAGTAGAGGAGAATGCTTACAAATTTGTAGGTCGCAGAATGCGAGGTTTCCTTTTCTAAATGGATAAAAGAATGGGTTAATACTACAAAAAATATCAAACTGGTACATTTGTAATAAATTTATCCCAAAATAATTTTTTAACCACAAAAAACCCCAAATCGGCACACCTGTGACAAATTTACTCTTTATCAGTTTTCGTTAAATTTTACTGTCAAATTGTTGAGTTGGATGACACATGACAATTGATGGATATACCAGTTTAGAGTTTTATCCCTCTATTTGTCACATATTTACCGATTTATGATTTTTGTGGTATTAATCTAATTTAACGGAGGGTAAATTTGTCACAAATGTATCAGTTTGGAGTTTGTTGTGGTAAAAAAATTAGTCTGTGATAAATTTATTATATGTGTACTAGTTTGAGATTTTTGGTGATCAAAAAATTAATTTGGAGCAAATTTGTCATATATATACCAGTATGGGATTTTTCGTGATATTAACCCCAAAAAAGTTGTTAGTCCTTTTGTCACTCTAGAGTATACGTGTCTTTCACGAGTCAACAACGTTAATTACGGGATCAGTTGACTTCTTTGATTCTCTCTTGATAAGTTAGTACACGGTGAGGCACCATTTTCTATGGAGGTAAGTTTCAAAGAAACTGTCCATCATCTGCTTCTTCTTGAATTACTCGATGTAGAATTCTTCCTGGTGATGGACTCGTTCCTCTTCCTCTCCATCCTCTTCCTCGGTCTTCCCTTCTGTTGTTTGTCCTTAATGTCGGCAGAAGACTCCTGTCATGACCCTTCATGTATGAAATTTTTCTGTCTAGACCCTATCAAGTCAACTATATTTGTTCGTATCGTGACACAATTTGTTGTGAATTGACACGGAATCTAATGGATCTTGCAATTCAATATATAAAATCAGATGCCCAAAGAGAGAAATTAAAAGTAAGAGAGCCTGTTGTCATCGAATATGCGGCTCATTTTAATCAGCTAAGCAAACTTTCAAAGAACATTTTTGCAGAAGAAAAAGACAAAGCCGATCACTTTGAGCAAGGGCTCAAACAAGAGATTTGCTCGAGCCTTTCCTCTCACTTGCTGACTGCAAGGCCTGTCAATTGAGTGGGTTGGGGTTGGATTTGGATTGGGTATGAAAATAGTCCAATCCAAATTAATCCATTTTTATGCAATAAAATTCTAGCGATTCAAACCTAACCTTGACCCCGACTCGAACTTAACTCATATCCAACCCAACGCATGTTACTAAAACACATCCATGTTTGTCCTAACTTATGAAAACCCATATACAGCCATTTAAACCATTTTAATCTCTTCATGTGAATATGTTAATTGGATAAAATTTTATATTAAATCGAAAAGGTAAATTAGCAATATAAAAAGATGTTAGTCAATAAAATAAAAAATACAGAAAAATTATAGATTGAAATACTTCTAAAGAACAAAAAATATATGCATGTGTTATGCCGATACATACACTGAATGAATGCATGCTTTGTTGATCCAAGTCAATTTAACTTTTTGGGAAAAAACCACCAAAAACCCCAAACTTTATCATCTGTGACACATTTACCCCGAACTTTTTTTTGTGACACCAAAAACCCCGAACTTTGCTTTTTGTGACACATTTACCCCAATGTATTTAGTCCATGGGCATTTTCGTCTTTTTTGCTTTTTCTTTTTTTTTTTCTTTTTTTTCCTTTCCGGCGAGGGCTGCCCATCGCCGGATCCGCGAGGGGGCCCTCGCCGGCCGTCAGCGAGGGCGGCCCTCGCCAAATCCGCCGAGGGTGGCCCTCGCCAAATCCGGCGAGGGCGGCCCTCGCCGGCGTCGGGCGAGGTTCGCCTCGCTGGGGCGAGCGGGGCGGCCCTCGCCGACTCGAGCGAGGTCGACCCTCGCGCCGGCGTCGGGCGAGGGTCGACCTCGCTGGAGTCCGGGCGAGGGCCGCCCTCGCTCGCCCGGGAGGGCGACCCTCGCCGGCGTCGGCGAGGTCCGCCTCGCTCGGGCGAGCGAGGCGGCCCTCGCCCGATCCGGCGAGGTCGACCCTCGCCGGCGTCCGAGCGAGGGCGGCCCGCTCGCGATCCGGCGAGGGCGGCCCTCGCCGGCGTCGGGCGAGGGTCGCCTCGCTGGGCGGCGAGGCGGCCCTCGCTCGACGCCGGCGAGTCGCCCTCGCTCGATCCGCGAGGGCCGCCCTCGCCGGATCTGCGAGGGCCGCCCTTGCTCGACGCCGGCGAGGGCCCCCCTCGCCGGATCCGGCGATGGGGCCCTCGCCGGATCCGGCGAGGCCCCCCCTTGCCGGAAAGGAAAAAAAAAGAAAAAAAAAAGAAAAAGCAAAAAAGACGAAAATGCCCATAGACTAAATACATTGGGGTAAATGTGTCACAAAAAGCAAAGTTCGGGGTTTTTGGTGTCACAAAAAAAAGTTCGGGGTAAATGTGTCACAGATGGCAAAGTTTGGGGTTTTTGGTGGTTTTTTCCCTAACTTTTTTATCGCCAAATCTAATTTATCACTTCAAAATATATTAAGTGGAAGTAATATGTTTTTGTTCTAGCGATTTAGTGTACATATATTTCTTTCCCCCCCCCCCCCTCAAAAAATAAAAAAGCTCGAATACTTTACCATAGGCAAAAATAATCTTGCAAATCTTAGGCGCTATTCGTTTCGCAGAAAATG